ACAAACTTTGAAAATTACATAAAGTTGTAATCATCTAATACTGTGGTCCCCAATCCCTAGGCCTCGGACCAGTACCTGTCCGTGGCCTGTTAGAAACTGGGCTGCACAGCAGGAGGTGAGCAGCAGGCGAGGGAGCAAGCAAAGCTTCATCTGTATTTACAGCTGCTTCCCATCACTTGTCATCCCCCCCGCTCCACCCCTCCCATTTCATGGAAAAATTGTCTTCCATGAAAAAATTATCTTCCATGAAACCAGGCCCTGGTGCCAAAAAGGTTGGGGACTGCTGATCTAATACATTCAAAAAAATTTTCCCTCCCTCCCAACAACTATCCAGGAGGAATTAAAAGTCCTGAAAAAAGGCCAATTCAAAATGGTCTCTACCCTAGTAGACACAAAAAGTGAAAAGATGGGGAAAAAAACAGAAATCGACTAAGAGGTGTTGCCAGTGTCTCTCAGGAGTGGGGCCCTGGCTGTCACCTGGGGCTGTGAAAGGCAGAGCCTACAGCATGCAGTATGGCAGCTGGGAGACCCTGTGGCCACATCTTCCTCACCGCAGCACATCCATGTCCCAACTTAAGAGTTATGGAAATCCCTCAGCAGGGTTCTCCTCCACTGCTCCACTGTGTGCATCTGGTTCTCCAAGTCCCCTCTGTCATAGCTGTCTGCACATTCCACTTTCCATGATAGGTTTTCAATCTCAACCCCCAGATGAGCCTGCTAGTATTCAAACAGCTCCTTCCTGGGTCCAAACTCCATGTAGTATGCAAATGAGTAAGTGTATTGCAGGGTATACTGACACTTAGACAAGAGCTTGGTATTGTTCTGTAGGTACTGCCAGTCGATCCATGTCCCCAGATTGTTCGTGACCCTCTTCTGAATCTTCTCATGAATCTGCTGGTATGTCTGTGCCTCTAGCTATAAGCTTTTGTTGTGATTTTCCCACTCTCTCAAATTAGAATAAGTACTTCTTGAGGGCTTTTCTGCCCTGAGCTTGCTGGCTCTGGTTGACAATGTCAGGATTCTCCTTGGAATGACTATACTCATAGTAGTACTCACGGCCATGAGTCTTCTAATTTCCTAGACACATCCAGCAAAAGACAGGTTTACATTTGGAGCACTGCATGTAATTACAGCCTCCATTCTTCTCAATGCAGATATTGTACTTGGGACAGTCTTTAGTGTGAGCACCAATGTAGTTGGCTGTTTGAGAGTCATCTGCGCACTTCATGAGCCATTTCCAGATTGTATCATAGCAGAGTCTGTGGGGACGTGATACATCTGATGACACTTGAAACAGAAGACCTCATTGCACCAATTACACTACACTTGATGAGCTCTAGGTTTCTGTACCTGAATAACCCTGGGGCAGTCTGTACCAGGGCACAGCTGGAGCTAGTGATGACTCTCCAAATAGTCCCTGAAGAGGTAGTTTTTGCACTTGTCTCTCAATTCTTCATTGGGAAGCAACTGAAACACAAAGTCCTCTGAGGTACAGAGTAGACAGTCCTAAGCCACAGAAGAGACTCCCATGCTGTCCTTTACAAGTACTAAGCAGTACTGCTCCCAGCAACTATGGCAAAACTGGTACTGACAGGCCAGAAAGAGTGGGTCTTCCTTCCACACAAACTCCATATACACTGCACAGTGGTGAGGGGGATAGGCTTTGGGGACATGTTTTGATCACTTAGGCTGAATTCGAGCTTCAAGTCCAGTTGAGAGGAATTGGACTTTCATTTGCCCAACATCTCTGAGACTTCCCAGTGGAAATTAATGACTATAAGTTTGGCAAGTGAATGAGATACCTTTATTACAGGGGCTAAAGCTGGTCACGTGCTCCTTAAGGGTACCCTCCAAGTCCTTGTAGGTCATGCAGGTGAACTGGTACTCCACGGGATCAAAGGCATTGGCCCCCTGCTACTCCACATCTCTGGCTACTTCCACATAATAGTCTTCTATGTCCCCAGGGTCCTTGTCCTCTTCCTCCTCCTCTTCCTCACAATTTGGGTCACAGTTCCCTTCAATGCTGACAGACTCCTGGCTAGTCATGTCCACAGACACCTTAGTATCCAGCCCAGCCTAGTTGCAGATCAGGAAAGCAGCTGTTTTTTCCCTCTCCTCCCAAACTTTCTCAAATACATAATATTTTTGCCTTCTGTAAAAACCCTGAAGATTTTTCAGGCAGATATCATCCAAATATTATATGTCATACAATTTCCACAGGGAGCCATGGCTGAGCCCAGAAAGGACAGGTCAGACCAGGCCAGATGGGTCAGATTGGAGCACACCACCAGTCAGGCCTGAGCTGTTTCCTGCAGAGAAGCCATACCTAGAGTTCTGCTAAATCTTTCTTTTAAAAAATATTCTTTAATTCTGAATTTTTAATCAATTCAAACTCACCTTTTCCCTAGTTATTCCAAATGGCAAAATATTGTTTAAATCAGAATAGTTAATATAATACCAATTTACATAAAATAACAGTTTCACAGCTACCCTACATGGTAGCTAACATTCTAAAATATATGAAAGAAGATTATACCACCTGGAGATATAACAAAACAATCATTAAGGATATAGAGAACATTCCCCAAATTCACCAAAACTACTTACTTCCACTAAGCATCTGACTACTTTTATACTAACTCAAACATATTTTCTCACCTGTGCCTTTATTTCTTCTAATTCTTTAGTTTTCTCTAATAATTCCTCTTTTAGCTCTTCAAACAGCAGCTGAAATTTTTCCTGGTGAGTTTGCTTTTCATTTAACAGGCGTTTAAGTTCATTTTGTGACTTTATGTACTCATCTTGCAACCTGATTTTTTTAAAAGAAGAACTCAATTTTAAGTGTTTCCTTTGCTTTCTAATTGCATTACTTTATGTAAAGTCAACCAACACTGCAGAAAAACAAGGTCAATATCATATATTTCATTAAACACACAAATACCTTTTCTTTATAGAGTTTCATTTCATTATTAACACAGTAGTTTCTGAATGCAATTTTAATTTGAGGGGAAAAACACATTTAGCCCCCTGGAAATGTTTAATCTTATATGCCTTGCTACTTTCAAAACAAGACTTTTATAAATTCACAACTCACTTGCTATTATACTTAATTTTGAACAACATAATTTTAAAGGAAAAATTGTACTGCATTAACAAAATTTTAAATGTATACGCTGGAAAATAACAAACTTATACTGTATGTTCCAGAGCAAACATTCAGCCAAGACAGTTCCAATAAATTTTTTTAACCAAGCCCCTCAACCTCTAAATTTAAGGATTAATAATTTACCTTGTGTGTTCAGCTTTCAGAGTCTGGTAATTAGTTTTATGATGTTCACATCGTACCCTTTCATCAATTAACATTTTTTGGAACTCAGACTGAGAATTTGTCAGTCCATTGTCTCCACCAGGAGGAAAAGTGTCCATATTGGTAAGTGAGCTGACAACCATGTAAAAATAGGTTCTGACTTTTTTATTGCTCTAGTTTTCTTTCCAACGGTATTTCCCACTTCTTTCTTGCCAAGGCAGAATCTCAGGAAGCCAATTATACCTGCACAGAAAATTAAACTTAATTAGTGATCAGTGAACTTAAGCTTCCTTTGATGTTAATGTATTTCTATCATTTATTATTCTCCTTATCATTTTATAACAAAGCCCAATTTTCAGATTTTCACTTGTTCATAAAACAAAATGCAAAAATAAAGTTGAATCATAACTCAAAAAATTTTCTTTTCTTCCACATAAAGATTCTGTGACCATGACATCTTCAAGTATTAACCTAACAACAGTAGATGCACAGACTTTTCCAGTTTAGGTACTGCTAGATTCACAAACCACAGTCATGTTTCCTGAAACTACTGCAGTAAATTTCAAGGGTGGATCCTGGACAAAATCCATACTCCCAATTCAAGGGAAAAGCCACTTGGAACTTAGTAAGTGGCTAGGGAGAATCACGATCTTCACAAAGATGACCTTTATCATGTAACTATGTCTGTGATTAGTGCTATGAAAGGACTTTTGACACACGGCAAACTGAGCTCAGCCTGCAGATTCAGATGAGAAATCAATCAACAAATAAATATCGATCAACTCCCATGTGTTATACACTCTGTTAAGAATAGAAAATTAAATCATCTCACCTATACCCTAAAGCACTGATCAAATATTATGAAAGTGTAACTATTAATAAATGTTTATTGCATCTAGAAGTAAAAAATGATTTTTAAAGTGTTCTTAGTATAAGTAATTAAGAATAAAAATTTTAATTAAAATAGTTCTGTCCCCTTTAACTTCACTAATCTTTCTCTAGACCATTTTATATATATACATATATTTTTTTTCCTGATACAATTCTTTCTTAGTCATGTGTTATCATAAATGACTTAATATAAGATCTTTGGCCTATGTAAACCAACCATTAAATTACTCAGTCTAGCCTGAAATATATCATCTCTGATAAATTAGTGCGATATTTGCATATTACGTAAGAAAACTACAACTGGGGTTGCTTTGGTTTACTGTGAAATTATATTTTAATAGAGAAGGAAAAATCCTTCAAGGACACTTCATTCCTTACCCTGATGTTAAACGTGCACTAGGATTCGACCCTGGTAAATACAGAGTGCACTCCTATAGCAGCTACCACAAAATAGTCCTGTCAAGAATATGTATTTCCCAAGGAATTAATGAAGTGGATCATAAAACTGGCATGCAATTTTGATCCTACTATGGGTAAAATGCTATCAAATAGCATCGCTTGCTACAGAGAAATTTTTCATGAAAGGAAGAGTCAACTGATACAGCAAACATCATTGTGTCTTATTTTAAGAACTTGCCACAGCCATGCCAACCTTCAGCAACCACCACTCTGATCAGTCAGCAGCCATCAACATCAAGTTAAGACTCTCCACCAGCAAAAAGATTACAATTTGCTGAAGGCTCAGATAATTATTAG